GGGACAACCTCAGGCAGGGAGGAGGAGGCCGGGACAACCTCAGGCAGAGAGGAGGAGGCTGGGATAACTTTAGGCAGGGCAGAGGCCGGGACAACCTCAGTTGGGAAGGAAGGTAACCTCTCAGGAGCCAGGGAGCCAGAATATGGGGGAGTAGTCTCCGGAGAAAGGATCTCAGAGGGCTCTGGGAGGACCTGGGCAATAGAGGAGGCCACCAGGGAAGACCAGGAGGAGGAGGCGGATGAGAAGAGAAAGGCTGAGATGAGCGTTTCCCCCAAACAGAGCCAGGCTCTAGGAACTGAGGGTGTGGAGGAAGCAGTGAAGGACCAGCTGGCAGGGAGGGAGTCTGCAGGAGGCCAGGGGTCAGAGGGGGAGGGAGAGGGGTTTGAGGTCCAGGCAGATCGGGACGGGGAAGAGGCCGAGGGGAGGCAAGCCTCGGTGAACAGGACTGTTGCCCTTGGTCTGGAGGAGATGGTGCAGGCAGAGAAGGCCAAAGAGGAGGGAGAGAGTTGCTGGATCGCCGAGGCTGAGTTGCCCAAGAACAAAGTGGCAAACGAGGCTGAAGGCGGTGCTGGCTTGGAGGCAACCCCGGAGGCCAGCCTTGAGAAGGAGTGCAGGGGGGAGAAGAGCGAGGGGGAGGCTCGGACAGGTGGAGAAGGGCTGGCGTTGGAGGGCAGTGGCCTTGAGCACGAGGTCACCGAAGGCCAGGACCCTGAGCTGATGGCCGCCCCCCAGACCCCAACAGAGCAGCCTGAGGAAGGACTGGGGGAAGAGGAAGAGCCCCGGGGCATTCCAGCCCTGAACAAAGAGGAGACAGAAAGGAGCCCGGAGGAATACCCCAGAAACCTGGGGTATGGAAAGCCTGGTGCCTCTGGGACTGAAGCCCAGAGGAGGGACTTGGAGGGAGGGGATTCCCACAAAGAAAAAGCAGATGCTGAAGAGGGGGAGGAGGAGGCTGTAGGAAGCCAGGCATCAGAGGAGGCCGAGGAGGCCGAGGGAGGCCAAGAGTCTGTGCTCCCAGATGTCCTGGAGGCAGGTGGGGAGTGGAAGAAAGCCGAGGAAGCAGGGTGTGGAGCAGAGGAGGGAGAGGCCCGCGGAGCACAGAGCCAGGAGCCAGGTGGAAGGTTCAGCGCAGGGGCAGGGGCAGGTCGGGCACTGGGGGAGTCAGATGCCCGAGACACCGAGGATGAGGAGGCAGAGGCCACGGTGCCCTGCAGGGCAGACACGACATCCAGCGGAGTCTGGGGGCTGGAGGAGGCGGCTCTGAGCCTCCGGGACAGCGAGGACACAGGGGTCAGTTCTTTGGCCGCTGAGATAGCGGGGGACAAGGCCGATGGGAGGGCTGCTGTGCCTGGGGGAGGGCCCAAAAGAGAGGCTGGGGGAGCTTGGGAATCAGAAGGGAGGCAGGAGGCTGGGGGAGGAGAGGAGCTGGTGGAGGCTGCGTGGGAAAAAACCCGAGGGGGGCCAGAGTTTGGCCCGGAGGGCTCAGCAGACATGGAGGTAAATAGCAGAGGGGGCCCAGAAGAGGCTTTTGAGGCCGGAGACAGTGAGCCCAGGGGAGAGTGCGCAGAGGTCAAGGAATCTGCAGTGGCAGAGGGAAGCTGTGGGATGGACAGCTTTACCTGGGGTTCCCAGGTGGCGAGGGCAGAGGGCGCCATGGCCACCACGGTAGAGGCCGAGGGGCTCCCAGGAGGGCAGACGCCGCCGTGGGAACAGGAGGCTGCGGGATGGCAGTTAAAGGAGCAGGGGCAAGGCGATGAGGGGCAGCGTGGGGACCTCCACCTTGAGGAAGAGGCACAGAGGCCCCTTGACGTGGAGGGTGTTGAGGTGACTGAAGACCAGAGGGCAGAGGCCGAGGAGATTGTTCCAGAAGGCCCGGAGGACATCCAGGGCCAGGAGGACCAGTCAACATACCAGGAGCCTGGGCCACGTGGGGAGACGGCAGCAAGTACCGGAGGGGATGCTCACGGCAGCTGGAGTGAGGTGAGGGCTCCAGCCAGGGTCCGGGGCTGGACAGAGCAGAATATTGAAGCCAGCCCCTTGGTACTCGGTGCCCCTGTCCCTGCAGGCCCTGCTTCCTGGGTCTCGCCTGGACGTCTCTGTCTCGCGGAGCCGTGTACTCCTGTCTCGAAGCTCCTCCCAGCGTCGCTCCCGGCCCTCTTTCCGACGGACCCCCGCCCCTGAGCGGCAGGAGGAGCCTCCCAGCCCCCCGCCTGAAGAAGAGCCGTCAGCCCCCGAGCAGAGATTTCTCCGGCCAGAGGAACCCCCGGAGGCAAGCCCCCCAAGGCCTGAAGGGACCCCACTGCCAGCCAGGAGAAGGCCCCTGGGACACGGGTAAGCAGAGGGCGACGTGGCTGGGCCGGGGTGGGGCCGTGGACACGTGGAGACCAGCTCCCACAGCCCGTCTCCACCTGCAGGTTTGGCCTTGCCCACCCTGGCATGATGCAGGAACTGCAGGCCCGACTGGGCCGGTCCAAACCCCAGTGAGTGCCCCGAGCCCCTGGGAGCCGGGCCCTGAATGAGCGTCAGAAGGATCCACCAAATCCTGCTCGGCCTATCTCCCTCTGCCACTTTGGACACACCCTTTTCCACCCTCTGGGCCTTGGTTTCTTGGTGTGTCAAGCTCGGAGCAGACAGAGGCAGACATCCTCGAGAAGCGTGAACTGGAGGAGTCTGACTGCAATGTGGCTGATGGACACGCCCCCCCCCAACCCCTGGCCCGCTGGGAGCGCGCCCCTCACGGCCCCGTCCTGATCATGCCTCCGGCGCATCTCTGCTGTCTGCAGGACCGAGGGGACGGGACAGTTCTCCTCACGGCCTTCCCTCCCTGACCTCTCCGGTCCCCACCCAGGCCTCCAGGGGGCAGTGCAGTGGGAACTCAAAGCTCGGCGGGGTGGGCGCTAGCCCGGAGGAGAGGGGTCAGGAGGCCCTCTGGACCTCCATCTGCAACCAGAGGTTGATGGGAGACGGATCAGTGGCCTTGAGCTTTGAAAAACTCACGGCTCTGCAGGTTACTGTGGCAACCACCAGCCCAGCAAGCCAGTCTGGGGGAAGGTGGGCCAGGAGCCCCCGAAATTTAGGAGCAGAGAGGGGTCCAGGGTGGCCAGAGACTACAGACCACCCCCCCCCCCCCAGACCCTTTTGTCCTTTGGCGTCAGGCACCCCTTCTGGGAAAAGAAGCCGAGGCCGAGAGAGGATGACAGTGCTTTATTCGGCACCCCGCACGGTGGCCTAGCCCGGGGACAACTAGCCGGCTCTGAAACAATAAATAAACCATCATTTTCCTAAACAATAAATAAATATCCAAGAAATAAATATCCGGCAGGGCCTGGAGGGGGCTTAAGTTATTGGGTGGGGGCTGGGGCGGGAGGCCGGTGGAGTCCTGCCCTGTTTAAGGCAGACGAGCTGGAGGCTGTCCCGTTGGCCCGAACTGAATGAAGGGCGAAGGGAAGGGGCTGAGCGGTCACCCCATCAGGGCCGGGAGCCGAATGAGGACCCCGAGGCCGGGGCTGGGTTTCCGGCTTGGGAGAGTAAGAGCAAGTCCCTTACGGCCCGAGCTAAGACGAGCTCCAAGGAGTGCAGCAGCTGGTAGGTATAGAGGAGCTGGGGCCAGGACGGCTGCCCTGACACCCGTGAGAGGCCACTCGGAGCCCCTGGGAGCAGCTCCTTCCTCTCCTCGTCATCCTCCTCGGGGAGGTTGAGTCCCGCAGCCAGCACCTGTGAGGAGAGGCCCACGGGTCAGACAGTGGCCAAGTGGAGACCCCGAGCAAACCCTTGTTCCTTTAGGTGCCCAGTGGTAACAGAATGACATCGGATGCCACGAGGTCATGATTTCCCTGGACAGCCCCTACTCTAGACCTTCCATTATGTCATCGTCTCACGTGTCCTGCCTGATTTTTTGATTCGAGAAAATGGAAGTCACCGAGCCAGATGCCGCGTCCGGGGCGGGCACACGATCCCAGGATCGCCCTGGGCGTGTGGGATGCCCGAAGTTCTCCTCTCGAGGGTCATTTGGGGGTCCGGAGTGGGCAGCAAGGTGGGACAGCCAGTTTTTATGCTGCTTACATTTTATTAAGGATAAAATGCCTGTTTCCCTTGGAGATATTCGGGAGGATCTGGTGACGTTAGGGGCTAAGGGAGAAGGGACCGAGCTTTGCTGTAGGGCCTGCTAATGCCAGCAGCTGTTCCGGGTGCTTCAGAGCTATTTGGATCAAGACATCAAGAGGAGGCAGAGATTCGGGGGGGCAGAGCCAGGGCCTCCACACACACACACACACACACACACACACACACACACACTCAGAGGATCTACAGCATCTCCTTCCAAACTTACCCAACCTGCGGGCAGGGAGTGTTTGAAAAAGGGGGCCCGTGAGCCTCAATGTTATGTGTTGGTCTCTGGGAGTTCAGGAGGGGGGTGAACACTCTACCTGGAAGTGGAGATGCCGCTGCAAATCCCGGAGGTCCAACCTCATGGTCCATAGCTCTATCTTCTCTGAGCTCGTCCAGCCCCCCTGGCTTCCCAGGCTTCCCAACAGGGCATGGAAGGGGCGAAGTGTCATGAAGAGGAAGCAGAGTCGTTCTGGGTCCTGCGGGAGGGAAGGGAGGGGGTCAGGAAAGGCTTGCAGGCTGAGGATCAAACCTAAGCCCATCTCCACTGTCCTATCACTCTCTCTCCACAACCCCACTCTATCCTCTTCCCTACCATCCCCTTTCATGGTCCTTTCCTTTTTTTTTTTTTTTTTTTAAGTTTATTTTTGGGGGGGGAGGGAGGGACAGAGAGAGAGAGGGAGAGGGAACCCTAAGCAGACTCTGTGCTAACAGCAGACTGGGGGCTCGATCTCAGGAACCGTGAGGTCGTGACCTGAGCCGAGATCAAGAGTTGGACGCTTAACCGGCTGAGCCACCCAGGCGCCCCCCTCCGTTTCACGTCCATGGCTTCACTTGTGTTTTTATCCTGTCTCCAACTTCCTTCCCACACTAATCCCACGCCATCCCTCCTCCGTATGTGCAGCCTCATTCTGACATGACTTCTCTATTCCAGCTGGATCTTTATATCCGGCGACATGCCAAGCCTCATCCGGATCCAATTCCTCCATTCACCCCCAAATCCATTTTCCATTCAATCTCCTGACTTCATCACCATCCACCCGGCCCGGCCTTGCTGCCAGCTCTCCTGCCCCACCCCACCGGCCCCCAACTCACAGAGAGGCTGTGCCAGGCCTGGAAGGTCAGGGAGACATTGGGGAGCTGATCTCCCAGGGGCAGGAGGTCCAGGCTCACTCCTGGCAGGTGAGATTCAGCCTGTGGGGCAAGATCTGTTAGTGGGGGGGGGGGGGCAGAGGGATTGGGGATTCGCCCGTCCCCAAAGCCAGCTGCATCAGAGAGAGACTCACAAAGCGGTGGGCCTGGGTCCGAACCTCGGAGAACAGCTTCCTGGCGAGGTGCAGGCTGACCTTGAACTCCCTCCGCAGCTCCTGCAGGCTCAGGGGGGGCCTCCCTGGCGGCCTCGGGAATCCCCAAACACCAGCACGAGCCAGGAGCAAGGAGAGCAACAAGAGGCTGAGCCCTGGAGAGAGGGGGGAGATGGGGGAAAGCTCGAGAAGAGCTCAACATGCCCCTTCTGAGCCTGTGCTGTAGGCAAAGCCTGTGTGCCATTTTGCTGACCCCGCAAGGCCGCTAATAACATGGAAGCTATCGAGGACACCATACGGCATCTCTGTCTGAACGAAAGGAAGGGACCCCTTCTCAAGGCGGACACGGCCTTGCACAGAAGGCCCACATTCGCAAGCAGATCTCAGGCTCCATCTCGGCCCCTCACTAACTCCCTTGGCTAAGTGTCTTTTTCGGTGAACCAACCGCTCAACGGTGTGTGGCAGCCTGGGGGCTATCATCCGTGCATTTTGCAGATGAGGAAAACGTGAGGCTGACTAGCCCAGGGTGGCGTGGCGAGAGGGGGAGGGAACCAGGACTGGATTCCAGATCTGCCCAAATGCAGATCCTGCGTGCTTCTCCCGCAGGGAACTCAGACGAGGCAGCCACCTCCCCTGGAGTGGGCACTCTGTTCTGCCGAAGATTCCTGGGGCTTAGCCAGGCGGCTCTGATGGCCTGAACTGGAGCCCCAGGGGTGGGTGGGCAGTGCTGGAGACTCTACCTCGGAGAGTCAGAAGGACAGATTGGTCCAGCCACCCCCGAGGCTGATGGGTCACTCTGCAGTGTCAGAAGAACAGGGGGTGCCAGGGGGAGGAAGGGGGCCTGGGATGGGAGGCATAACCTCTGTTTCTCGTCCAGGTCCTTCCCTGGATGAGATGAGTCGCCTCTTATCTCTGTGCCTCAGGTTCCCATCCGTAAAATGGGGTAGTCAGGCCAGCTGGTTTCTGAAAGTATTTCCGGCCTATGTTTCCTGGACAGAAGAGAGAGGGGCCCTAGGGTGGGGGGGTCTGGGAAGAGGCCAGGGTTCGGTGGTTTCTCCATCAGGGAGAGGAAATCTAGCAATCATGGAGTTACACAATTCTCCTCGAAACACAAACCAAAACTAAGCTGTAAGTCTGTCTGTTCCCGCTCACCCTCCTCTCCATGCTTCTCCCTTGTCCATTCTTGATTTCTAACGCCTGGGCTCTGCTTCCAGAAATGTCCTGTACGTAAAGGTGAAGGAGAGCTTCTGGGTCCTTCACCGGCCAATGTACTTCTAGAGGTGGTGGGTGGTCCCTGGGACCCCTAGCATCCAGGCTCCCTGGTTTAGGGACCACATCCCAGGGACTTCAGGCAGAGTGGGGTTCTTCTCAGCTCTGTGTTGAGGGAAAGTGAGTACCGCAGGCTCTGGTGGATATTGCCACCCCAAATCGAGCTGGGCCACTTTCTAGGGCTTCCTGTCTGAGCTCTGGGACCCCAGACCCTTCCCTTGGCTTCTCCCTACGCTCTGCACGCAATCCCAGCTCCTTCTTGGTCCCTACTATGGCCCTACCATCTGCTCTTCCTTCTGTGTCTCTGTGTCCTTGAGTCGCCCACTGTGGATTGGACCTCCTTCCAAGCTATAGACCCTTGACCCAGTTAGGCCGCCGCCGCCTTGGCCCCCGCCCCACACTCCAGCCCACTCCTCCTGCCCTTCTTCCTCTCCCAGCCCCGGTTCTCAGCCAAACTGTCCCGTCCCCGCTCAGTCGCTCCAGCCAAACTCCTGGTCCTGGTCCTGGTCAAACTGGCTGCCCGCCTCTCCCCATCCGGGCCGGTCAAGGCTTCCCATCCGCTGCCCAGCCCTGATCAAACCATCACCCTCATTCACGCCAGCCTCATTCCTATCCTCCGGTCGACTGTATCCTGTATCCTTAGTCTTGACCCAGTAGCTGTCCCTCGGCCCCCGGCCCCCATCCACACCAGTCAAGCCCTCCCACCCCCTGCCCAGTCTCAGCCAAGCTTGCCACCCCCTCCGCCCCCCCGGCCCTGGCCTCAAACTCACGCCAGCCAAGGTCGCCTGCCATCTGGCCCATGGCGGGGCCCAGCCTGTGTGGCCAGCCATCTCCCGGGCAGGGGTCTTATACTGGGGGCTGCGCCGGTTTCACTTTCCGTCCTGCTTGTACTTTCGGCTTTGCGCTCAGTCTTCCCTCCTCACCACCCCTTGCTGAAATGGGGAAATGTCATTTCCCTTCCCAGAGGGGGCGGGAGGTGCAGCAGGGGGGGTGGAGGGGGTGGCGGGAAGCTAGGGTTTCGGTCAATCCAAGCTCCGGACCCCCCGCTGAGCTCCTAGGACATTTCCTCCCCTCTCATCCCCTCTCCCGGGTAAGTCACTGCTCTAGGGGCTGGTGATGGGTCCTGGACCCTCAACCCCTCCTGTTCCTCTGCTCTGTCATCATCATCCTATGCCATCACCAGCTCACTGTCTGGCAAAAGATGGACGGCCAGGTAAGGGGATTGCCCATCGGAGAGGACTTGAGGTTTTGAGTCATCCTACTCTTTTCTGGTTTACCAGATGGCTGAGTGAGGGAGTGCGAAGGAAGCGGGGAAGTCGCCGGGGGGGCTGGGAGGGGGGCTTTGTGTGGAGCAGTGGGGCCCCAGTCCGGGCAGGGGCAGGGCTCAGTCTACAGGCAGGGGCAGGGCAGGTGAGAATGGGCCGAGGGTAAGATCTGGGATTAGATCTCAGTCTGTAACCATGATCGGGACTTGGTCTACTAGGGCCGGACTTGGTCTAGAACTTTGTCTAGGGCCAACATCCTAGCTCTGTCTGTGTTTGGGGTCAGAGCCGTCGATGACCCGGAGGCTCTGCTTGGGACCCATCGGGGTTGAGCTTAGACCTCAGTCCAGATTGGGCCCAGAGCTCAGGCTGTGGCCGAGCTTCTGACAGAGCCTGTGACTCAGGTCAGGGCTCAGGTCTGGGCTGGGATAAGAGCTCCCTCGGTGACCAGGGTCAGAGCTCGCCAGGTTGGGGTTGTGTGAGGTCAGGATGGGGCTCAGCCAGGTCCGAGAGTAATCCTGCCCTGTGTGTTTCTGCTCTATGGATGGCTGTCAGGGCTGGGCTGCCTCCACGACAGGTCTCCCTTCCAGCACGGTTTCACCCTTCACCCCACCCTGGATTTTCCATCTTCAGGGACACGATGGGGGTTTCTTGGTCTTCCCCGAGGCCCACTTTCCTTTTGGGATCCGTGGGGTTTCCCTGTTGGGTCCCTGCAGTGAGACAGAAACCATGGGGGCTTTCCCTTCCTGTAGTCTGCCTCCTCGGCTCTACACAGGCCCTGCCCATCGGGGCCGCCTGGAACCAACTGCCAGGGAAGTACCAGTACATTTCGGGGAGCAATCCCAGAGGGCTGCTTGGAGGAGAAGGAAAAGGAAGAGCAGCTGGCACCTGCCTAGCCCAGACGGGTTTCGCTTGCCGCGTCCCCCAGTGGTGACAGCTCATTCTCCCACATCCCACGCAGCTGAGGCTCCCCACTGTGGGGGGTCCCAAACATCCTGAGACTGATCGTGAGGACAGACGCAGGCCCTGGTCGGTCTTCCTCCCATCCCCAAGTCCTGCGGCCACCCTGGAGGCATGCCACCCCACTCACCCTCTGATGCAACCACTCCCCACCCTTTGCCGGTACCCAGAACTGCCGTACCTCTCGAACCTCGAACCCCATCACCCGCTCTCTCACCACAACCTCCTGATCCTCCCGACCTTCTCTGATGGTTCTTCAAGACCTCCTGTCTCTTGTTGCGTCTCTGCCCTTCTCGATCCGGCTGCAGCTGACTCCCACAGCCTCATTCCTGGCCCCTGCCCTATTTCTGCTCTGGCAACTGGAGCTTCATGCTTGGACATGATGAACCACCTCAGACTTGCTTGCCTTTGCACACGCTCCTCTCTTTGCCTAGAATGTCCCACTGCCTTCTCTGGAGTTCCCTCTCCTCAACCTTTTCTGAACCTACCCCTTGTCACGGGCTTCCTCCCCTGAATAGCTCATTCCTTCCTGCCATAAATCCTGTCTCCAACAGACGTTTCATTTTTATTTCTCTTGCTTATTCTATCCTCGCTCATACCACTCCAGCCATCCTGGCTCCCTCATTGCCAGCCATGCATGCTCCTGCCTCAGGGCCTTTGCGCTGGCTGTCCCTTCTGCCTGGAAGGCTCTTCTTCCAGATATCTGCAAAGCCCACTCTCTTCTTTCGATCCCCACTCAAACGTCACCTTCTCAGATGGAGTCCTCACTGACTACCCTATTAAAATATGCAGCCCGGTCCCTGGCACTTTCTCTTTTCTTGGTTCTAGAAAGCAATGTTGCAATTTCCAACTGTAACTGTGGATCTATCCATTTTCCCTTTTAGATGCATCGGTTTCTCTCAACTGCTTTGAAGCGCTGTTATTTAGGCAGATACACCCCTAGGACTGTGATGCCTTTTTGAAGAGCTGACCCTTTTATCAGAATGTAATGTCTCTCTTTCTCCCTGATAATATTCCCTCTTTTTCCCTGAAGCTTACTTTTTTTTTTTTTTAATTAATTCAACCGGTCCTGCTCTTTTTGATTGGTGTTTACATAGCTTATCTTTTTTTTTTAACATACTCATTTTTAATCTATTTTTATTTGCAGTGGGTTTCGTTAAAACAAAATTTTAGATTAATATTTTTGTCAGTGTATATGGTATTGATCAGTGTCCGCCCTAAGCAAATAAACGTTCTATTGCTGACCGAAGGGATCTGTCCTATTCTGAATGTGAGGTCCGTTCTTAGCCCTGTGACCTCAGCGCCTTCATGAGTTCAAGATCATTAATTTGTAGTTTGTCCTACTTTGTTCCTGGTTATAAAGGGCAAGTGGTGCCCTTCCAGATTTTATACCTTTAAAAAATACACATTATTTGTGTGGCCTTGTTTTTTCTAGCTGGGTATTTTAGTACCATGTTAATTAGATGTGACAGTGAACATCTTTATTTTTGTCTTCATTTCAGAGAGTAAACTTTATTTATTTATACCCTTTAAAAATTGTATAATGTTTTTATTTATTTATTTATTTAAAAAAATTTTTTTTAACGTTTATTTATTTTTTTGGGACAGAGAGAGACAGAGCATGAACGGGGGAGGGGCAGACAGAGAGGGAGACACAGAATCAGAAACAGGCTCCAGGCTCTGAGCCATCAGCCCAGAGCCCGACGCGGGGCTCGAACTCCCGGACCGCGAGATCGTGACCTGGCTGAAGTCGGACGCTTAACCGACTGCGCCACCCAGGCGCCCCATGTTTTTATTTATTTTTGAGAGAGAGAGCGACAGAGTATGAGCGGGAGAGGGGTAGAGAGAAAAGGAGACACAAGAATCCGAAGCAGGCTCCAGGCTCTGAGCTGTCAGCACAGAGCACGATGTGGGGCTCAAATTCACAAGCTGCGAGATCATGACCCGAGCTGAAGTCGGATGCTTAACCGACTTAGTCACCCAGGTGTCCCTATTTATAGCGTTTTAATTGTTATTTTTTTTTTAATTTTTTTTTCAACGTTTATTTATTTTTGGGACAGAGAGAGACAGAGCATGAATGGGGGAGGGGCAGAGAGAGAGGGAGACACAGAATCGGAAACAGGCTCCAGGCTCTGAGCCATCAACCCAGAGCCTGACGCGGGGCTCGAACTCACGGACCGCGAGATCGTGACCTGGCTGAAGTCGGAGGCTTAACCGACTGCGCCACCCAGGCGCCCCTTAATTGTTATTTTTGAGAGAGAGAGAGAGAGAGACAGAAGAGTGCGAATAGGGGAGGGGCAGAGAGAGAGGGAGACACAGAATCTGAAGCAGGCTCCAGGCTCCAAGTTGTCAGCAAGGAGTCCAACGTGGGGCTCGAACCCACGAACCGGGATATCATGACCCAAGCCGATGTTGGATGCTCAACTGACTGAGCCACCCAGGTGCCCCTCAGAGAGTAAACTTTAAATTGTTCATTATTATTTTTTTCTTATTTTTTTTATAGATTCCCTTCATTAAATTCCAGAAATCCCATGTAATCATAGTTTGAAGACGTTATCTTTAATAACTGTTCACTTTAATTATTTGCCTGTGTCTCTTACATACACTTTCTATCCCTTTCCCTGCATTATATTTCTCCATAACATTTCAAAATATCTAACATTTTTGACCTCCTGGGTGACTCATTCGGTTAAGTGTCCGCCACTTGCTTTCGGCTCAGGTCACGATCTCACGGCTTCATGGGTTCGAGCCCCACAGCAGGCTCTGCGCTGGCAGTATGGGGCCTGCTTGGGATATTCTCTCTCTCTCTCTCTCTGCCCCTCCCCACTTGTGCTGTCTCTGTCTCTGTCTCTCAAAAAAGAGAAAACACCCTTAAAAATATTTAACATTTTCTCTCTCTCTTTTTTGTCTCTCTCTATGCACTAGAGCGCGAGCTCCCCAAGGGTGGGAATGTTTGCCAGTTATGTGCACTGATATATCCCCCGTAGCTAACAATAGCAGCTTCTTAGCCAATCAGCAAACAATTCTGTCTTTTATCACAGTGCCTAATGCAGGTTCTACTCACTGGCTGGCGCCCTGTCAGTTGCCCTCCTAGAGCGGGAGGTCTGGGACTCACTGCCGAGCCCTGAGCTCTTGCTGTCAGCCTTCCCTGACTCTGCCAAGGCTCCAGACAGGTACTGAAGGATGGAAATGGGGTTTTCTGGGCTGCTGGCCACGGCCCTGGGCTGATGATCTTGGCAGAGCCTTGCCAAGAAACCAGAGGGCCGATGAGGAGAGGTGCGGGGTGGTGGCGGGGCGTGGGGGGGTGGGGGCAGCCTCTGTCTATATCCTTGGAGGATGGGCCTGAGCCTGTCTCTGTCTACCTGGGCCTCAGTTGCCACGAATGGATCTTGGCTGGTGAGCTGAGGCTTGGGCTGGGAGCAGCAGGAAATCGAAGGGATGTGGTGAAGGCTGAGAACTGCTGGAAAGGAAACCAAGATCCCGGAGCTCTATGGACTCCGGGGTGTAGCTGACACTTCTGGTGACCTCAGGTGAGTCACTGGCCAGCTCCGGACCTCAGGTTCCTCATTGAGAAGCAGTAGCGGGGCGCCTGGGTGGCGCAGTCAGTTAAGCGTCCGACTTCAGCCAGGTCACGATCTCGCGGTCCGTGAGTTCGAGCCCCGCGTCGGGCTCTGGGCTGATGGCTCA